TGAAGGAAAGGAGATACAAGGTGAAGAAACTAACTCACACAAGGAGGTGGAGTAGAAGGGATTAGCATAATCCATTAACCCATTTATAGAAACCAAGACCCTTAGGGAACAATGCCCAGATCAGGAGGCCCAACACCCAGAAACTATCAGACTGCTATAGGGAGTGTCAGGGGCACAGACCATCCACCTACAAGGATGAGCCCCTCCCTGAAGATGATAAAACCTAACACAGCCCTCACAACAGGCAGCAGCACTCTGCCCTCCTGTGACTATGCAAGTGCTTCCTTTCACCAACTCTCTCCCTCCTCAGGCAGCAGCCTCCTGCCTGCCGGAGACTTGCACTTGCCGGAGACCTGCACTATGCTGGGACTGGAGAAACTCACCTGGGAAACTCGCTGCTTGACGCTGAAACCTGAGCTCTGGTGACATCTTTCCCAGAGTGAACCCAAGGACCTGCACTAACTCCATGAAAACTACATCAATAATAAACCTGTGGTCAAGAAGCAAGCGCAGGGGGCCTCCCTGGTGGCGCAAGGGTTAAGACACAACCTATGAAGCTGTTTGCAGCCACTGCAGCAGAGTTCAATTCCCAGCTGGCCAGGGAGCAGCCCGCATGGCTTAGCAGACCTCTCCTGTCTCACCCGCTGCTCCCCTCAGCAGTGTGCTTCTGTCAATCTGTCTGTTCTGTTCTCCACTCTGTCTCTGGTGAATCCTGTCACTCCCCACACCTTTGGCCTGTACCCTAGCTCTTGTATGCATAAATAAATCTTAAAAAAAAAAAAGAAGCAAGCGCAGCTTCTCCACAAATCTCTGCTCCATGTACCTCCTCCAGGTCTCCTTGCTCTCCATCCTTCTCTAGTCTCTTCTCCAGCTTCTCCCTGCTCAGCATCACCCTTCCTTGGGTGGGGCAGGGAACCAGGAACCTCCCCTTTTCCTGGGAAACCGCCCCCCCATCACTGTGGCAGGAACCTTAATTCCAGTGTTGTTAAAGGGTCAACTGTAATTGGAAGTGGTTAAATTGCCAGAGTGTTCTGCAGCAGGAAACTCAAAAACCCTGGGCTCCAGAGGGGTCAGGACCTGGATCTTGGAGCAGAAGGAACCTGCAGGAATTCTGTTCTCTGCAGCCATTGCCGTAGCAACTTCTGAAACTTTGAGGTGCACCTCAAAGACCTGGCAGCAATGCCACTCCCCTTGAGAGGGGAGTTTGGGGAAATCACCAAGATTTCCCTGACTGCCTGATTGTGAGAGCTTATCCTCTGCCCGCCTGTCTTTGCCAAGAAAAAAGTTCCTGTTTATGGGCCTTGTGGGGGGATATCACAAAGGCCAACCCCACAGTCACATGGTCATAAGCACACGTCCAGTGGAAGAAAATACTTGTGTAATGGGGGCACACGGCTGGTGACGCGTTAGAGGACAGAAAAGCATGTCAGGTTTCTTGTGCTCGGGACCTCAGTAACCTAATCAGAGGCTCGGCAGACTGCACCCTCTCCCTGGTCAAATCCAGCAGGACCACTTGAGGTTTATGTCAGGTTTGGGGGCTGCTGGGAGGCTTGGCCCCAATCAAGAAGCTTAGTGGGCATAGCTAGGAAGCTGATTCAGAAAATGGAGTGGTCTTCTGCCTTATGTCAGGGGTCGACAAACATCTGTAAAGGATCAGGGAGTAAGTGTTTTTGGCTTTGCAAAGCTGGAGGTCTTCGTCACAGTGACTCAACTCTGCTGTTGCGGTAGAAAAGCAGTCAGAGTGATGTGTAAATGAACAAGTGTGATGGTGTTCCAATAAAACTTTATTTACAAAAACAAGGGATAGGTCAGATTAGACCCTGTGTTAAGCCAACACTCCACAGGGAAGAAAGAATGGGTCCTTAAAGCCTGCCAAGAGGGTTGCAAGAGTGTGGAAGCTTCCATTCTTTCCTTTTACTGCTGATGGGGTTTTGTAGAGTGCTGGGTCCTTGGGTTCACTCTGGGAAAGGTTTCACCAGAGCTCCAGTTTCGGTGGCACATAGCTAGTTTCTTCACGAGGCAGAGACGGTAGTTATATTTAAAGGGCACGTTTATTAGAAAAGGGATAGGACAGGGCCTCTGGTGGTGCAGGCGGTTGAGCGCCGTACTGCGAAGCTGTCCTCAGCCTCTGCAGCGCGGGTTCGATGCCGGCCGACGGGGGAGAATCCCACATGGTGAAGCAAACCTCTCCTGCCTTGCCCGCTGCTCTCCTCTGCAGTGTATTTTGTCAGTCTGCCTGTTCTGTTCCCCACTTTCTCTCTGGTGAATTCTCTCACCCTCCCGCACATCTGGCCTGTACCCCGGGTCTTGCATAAATCTTTTTTTTTTAAAAAAGAGAAAAGGGATAGGACAGTAAAAGACACTTGCATAGACACAAGAGGGCAGGAAGAGATGCCCCTTGGTGGGAGCAGCATTAGACTTTATCCTCTTCTCTTGGTAGGCAATGGCTTGTCTTTGTGGGTGGGTGGTTTGTAGTCTGATAGCTTTTGGGTGTTGCATCTCCTGATCTGGGTGTTGATGGCTAAGGGTCTTGATTTCTTTAAGTGGGTTAATGGCTTATGCTAATCCCTTCTACCCCTTCCTCCTTGTGTGAGTTAGGTTCTTGACCTTGTTTCTCCTTTCCAGTTTTCTGTTCTTATTCTCCATCACTGCCATTTGAACCTCATACTAAGCGGAGTCATGCTCATGTCCTGAAGCATTAGAGCCCAGAGAAGAGACAGGAACCAGCCTGATAGAAGCCCTGTGGCCCAGGTAGCCAGCAGCTGGCCAACTCAGTAACCAGTTATATGTGAGTGACCTCAGGAAAAACCCGCATAAGAACTGCCCTGATGGGTTCAGACCAAAAATGCTGACCTACAGAATGAGGAGCATGTTAGATGATGGTTTGAAGTCACTAGGTTTTGGGGTGGTTTGTTAAACAGAAACAAATAACTGCTGTGTGTGTGTGTGTGTGTATATATATATATATATATATATATACACATAGATGAATAGATATGATCTATGCATGTATCTCTCTATATATCATCATGTCAGGAGTCAAAGAAATAGGGATGGGGGGCCTCCCTGGTGGCGCAAGTGGTTAAGCATTAGTAATGTGAAGCAATCCTCAGGTACTGCAGGATGAGTTCGATCCCCGGTCAGGGAGGTGGCCCACATGGTGCAGCAGACCTCTCCTGTCTGGCTTGCTGCTCCCCTCAGCAGTGTCTTTCAGTCAATCCACCTGTTCTGTTCCCCACTCTGTCTCTGGTGAATCCTCTCACCCACCACACTTCTGGCCTGTACCCCAGTTCTTGTATGCATAAATAAATAAATCTTTAAAAAAAAGACATGGGGATATGTAAACACATATACACACATATAATATATACAATACACACAGGTATATATAGTACTATATTATATACCTATATATAAAAATATAGATGTGTGTATATACAGTATCTATCACATACACATATCTACAATATATTGTATATACACATGTCTATATCACACATAAAAAAAGACACGCACATAACAAGTACATATGTGTAGATATAGGTCTATACACATAATACACACATTTACACATGTAGGTTATATAGACACATGTGCATACTTAGAATGCACATTCATACAGTATACACACCAGTACATAAAATATATATAAAACATATAGGTGTGCATACAGCATATACACACATATATATGTGTACACACATGCACACTTGTAAATGTATAGGTGTGTATACATGCATATATACACATTATAACACAAGACACATACTACACGCACACACATATATACAATCTATATAAACATAGGTCTATATACATGTATAATATATACAACTACACACAATACACATGCTTATAAGCATACAGATGTGCATACAGTGATACACATATAACACGTACCCATCATGTACGCACATACATGTATGCACACAGGTGTGTATTTTCAGGGCATATACAATATATGTACGTTTTACAGATCTATAAAGAACTTTATGTTAAGGAATTGGCTCGTGTGGCTGGGGCTGGCACAGGACCCTAGAATGGAAACCCAGGAGGGAGCTGAGGCTGCAGTTGGCGTCGGAAGGCCACTGCTGGTTGTGCCGTCCTTCCAGAGGAGCTCATTTTTTCCCTCTTAGGACCTTCAACTGATTGAACGAGGTCCACCCATGGGCTGGTGGGCGACTGGCTTGTTCACCTCATCTGGAACCACCTTCCCCGGCGCTGCAATACTCTCGTGGGAGCTGTGGCCCAGCTGAGCGGACACCTAAGATGAATCATCTCTGGCATTTAGAGTTTCCCCGTGCCCCTCCTCCCCAGTCGGTCGTGACTACTTCCACGAAACCGAAAGCTCCCCGAGGTTCGGCGCTGAAATCTCCGGGTGCCCGGGGTCTGGCGCCCAGTTTGCACTCCGTCAACAGCTTTCTGGCGGAGCGAGCCGCGCACCGCGCAGCAGGGAGGCCGCACTCTCTGGGACCAGTGATGAGGGCTGCGACCTGGTTCTTCCCTGCGGGGCGGGGGTCCCGGTCGTCCGCGCCCCACGACCGCGCGCCCCGCGGGCTCTCCCGGGGTCTCCGCCTCGGGCGGGCGGGGGCAGCCGAGGGCAGCCGAGGACGTGCGTGCCTGCGTACGTCCGTGCGGGCGAGCCCACAGGCGCGGCGGCGCGGGGGGGGCGTGCGTGGCGCGGCGGGCGGAGCAACGGGCGCGCGCCGCCTCCTCGTGCCAGGCCTCCCCCCTGCGCGCGCTGCGAGTGGTTCCGCCCGGTCCCCGGCTCATTGTGCTCGCCTCACGCCGGCCCAAGATGGCGGCGGCGCTGGAGGCCCAAGGCCTGTGACCACAAAGAGGGAGCCGGGGGCCGGACGGGAGCGCGGCGGCGGCGGCGGCGGCGGCGGCCGAGGCCCAGACCAGGCCCCCTTCCCTCAGCCTCCCGCCCTCCCGCCCGCCCTCCTCCGCTCGCCCGCCCCGCCCCGCCCCCGCCCGCGGCGCCCCGCCCCTCCCCCAACCGCCCGACTAGCATGGTGCGGCGGTCGCGCGCGCCGACATGGGGGAGAAGCTGGAGCTGAGGCTCAAGTCGCCCGTGGGGGCCGAGCCCGCCGTCTACCCGTGGCCGCTGCCGGTCTATGTGAGTACCTCCCTCCCGGCGCGGGCCGCGGGCTCCCCCCGAGACCCCGGGCGCCTGGGATCCGACACCCCTCGCGGGGACCCCCTGCCCTCCCGCCCCGGGGTCCCGCGGCAGTTTCCAGGCGCCCTCCCTCCCGCGTGGAAGGGGCGCGGCCGGCCGCCCGCTCCGGGGCACAGGCGCGGCCCGGTCCCTCGGCGCCCCGGGGCGCCCCGGCCGCGCTGCCGTTGCTGGCCGGGCCCGGAGCCGGGTCCTGCGGCCGCAGCGCGCGTCGTGACATTCGGCTGCTTTTTCCTAATTCTTCGCGCTGCCGGTGTGCTCGGCTCTGTAGCCTTTCGGGGCACACTTTGCTGCTTCCAGTTTTTTATGAAGTAGTCATTCTGCGCCGCCGGCTTGGAGTGGCGGGGCTGACAGTACTTTGGAAATCGAGAATTCTTTCCCTGGCGCGAGTGGGGGCGCGGCCCGGCCCGGGGGGCCGCCCGCGGAGCGCGCCCCTTGGAAAATGACAGGCCGGGCGGAAATTTACAAAGGCGCGCCCCGGCGATTCCAGAAATGCCAGGGCGCCGGGGTCGGCGCCGGCCTCTCGGCTCCCGGGCGGGGCGGGGTGCGGGTGGCCGCGGCCCGGGATCCGCGCGCGGGCCGCGCGCTGCTCGCTCGGGAGGGGGAGAACGCGGCAGGTGCCGGGCGCCGGGGCGCCCTTTCGCGCCCACGGTTTGCGGCCGGGACCGGTGGGGAAGCCCGCGCGCCCCGCCCCTCGCGCGCGCTCCGCGAGTGTCAGTTTTTGGAAGCGTCGCGGCCGGGGGCGGGGTCGGCGCAGGGACCGCCCGCGCGCGGGTGTTGGCCGCCGGCCCCGGGCCGCCGCGGTCGGCGGGGTTAGCTGCGTCCAGCCGCGCACGGCGCGCAGGAGCTTTCTATTTTTGCTCTTCCTGCGCTGACGGCGAGGCTGAGCCCTGGCTCTGGCTTTTCCGGTTGGGCAGCTCAGGGTGTGTGTCCGGGCCGGCATCCCGAACAGTGGGCAGGGCGGGAAGACGTCCAAGGCCTCGGAAACTGAAAAGTGCGGGGGAACCTTCCAGACGCCAACCATCCTACAGACTTCTGCCTAGCAGCTGGCCAGTGCACTTCAGAAAATGTGGCATTTCTTTATCTTTAGTTGACGTCCAGTATAATTCACTCCTTTTGGTGTCCAGGACGCTAAACTAGTTTTTGACAAACCCATTGCAATCCGACAACAGGACTGACCAGTCACCGCTCGGCCATCCCTCTGCCGCCATTGTTGTCAACCTGCTTGTCACCTCTTGGACAAGGCTAATCTCTGGCCCTGGGGTTTGTCTTTCCCTGAAAATCGAACAAATGCTACCATAGCAGGCAGCTTTGCGATTCTGTCCGCTGTTACTCAGCAAAGCTTATCTAAGATTCATCCTTAGTGGTGGGGTACGGAAAGGGTTCCTGTTCATTGCTGTGTTGTATTCCACCACCGTCTTTGTCCATCGCCTGCCTGTAGTGATAAGACGTGGGGTGTTGACAGTTTTTTTTTTTTTAAAGATTTATTTATTTATTTATTTATACACGCACTGGGTACAGTCAGAAGCACCGGAGGGTGAGAGAATTCACCAGAGCCAGAGCGGGGAGCAGAGCAGGCAGAAGGACCGAAGGACACTGCTGAGGGGAGCAGCGGGCGGCAGGAGAGGTCTGCGCGCCATGTGGGACCCTCCTCCGGTGGCCGGGGAGCAGCCGGGGATCGAACCGGCGCTGCAGAGGCTGCGGGCAGCTTCGCAACCCAGCGCTCAACCGCTGGGCCACCGGGGAGGCCCGGTGTTGACAGTTTTGAGAAGACTTACAAATAAGGCCCCTCTTAACCGCCAAGCAGGTTTTGATGTGAACTTGGCTTTTCACCTGAGACGATACTCAAGAGTAGGACTGCTGTGCCTTTGCTGCCTTTATGTTTGACAACATTTCCGCATCTTGGGAATCTGTAGGTTTGAATATTAGAAGAGCTAGGAAATCCGTTGTGCCTGTACCCAGGTGGAGTTGCTGCGCCCTCTCTGATACTGAGGTGAAAGTGCATAGGGACTTGGTTGCCTGATTAAAGTCTTTTATTTGGGGCAGAGCGAGGTCTCGCGAGGAGCTGGTAGGACCTGGCTCTTGAGAGGTGCGGCAGTGAGTGTGTGCTGTGCCACCACGCCAGTCAGGTGCTGTGCGTGGTCAGCAGGCCTGCTCCTGGTTGCTTGTTCTACCACCAGGCCATTGGGCGGGGGGCTCGGCCTGCCAGACTTTCGCCCTCTCTGCGCTTCCCAGGTGGGTTTGCTGAGAACTGCAGTGACGTCTCCAAGAGCCGTTCTTGTTCCCACTGAAGAATTCTGCTTTCCCTTGGGAAACCTGGGGGCAGCACTTCATGAGTTCATGTCCTGGTGATTCAGTGACGATCACAGGGAGAGAAAGGGCCACTTCAGAACTTAATGTCAAATGGCCAGCTCTCATGTGACTGCAGATTTGGAAGGGCTGAGCTCATTTATTGGTTGATTTTATTCATTCTGGGAGCACCTACTTAGTGTTTCCACTGTCCGGGGGCACCGAGGACAGTAGACACTATTCTTATCCTCACGACCTTACAACCAAAGAAAGGTGATTTATGGCCACCGGTTTGGCTGGAGAGTGGACCTGCTGAGGTGCCAGAGAGAGGGGCTGCTGGTTTCACCCAGGAGAGGTGTGGGGAGGCAGTGCAAACAGCCACAGTGCTCTGCACCCAGAAGTGTCCAGCGTGGGAAATGGGCGTTTTCTGCTTTGACCAGTTCAGGGGTGACTGAGAGTTTCCAGATGCCCACTTCCACGCAACGGTGGCATTTCCCAGCAGGGTGACCCTTTGTTTTGGTGGGAAAACCAGGTCTCCATTCAGAAGGGAGTAGTATGTTCGGTTCTTCCCCGCCCTCTGTGACTCGTTGAGGCTGTAGGTGGGGGAGCCGCCTCAGGGTGACTGTCCCCACCTCGCTTCCTCCCGGGGAGCCCACGACTTTCTGACGAATGCCCACTGAGTAGTGTCCTGGCCTCGTGCTGCGTGTGGTTGAGGTGGGTGGGTGAGCAATCCCTCTGTGACTCAGAGAGTATTCTTTGATGCTGACCCCGCTGTGTGAGGGACTGACTAACTTACTCAAGCAAAAGGCACATTAATCCCTGTTGACTCTGTGGCAAAGAAGCTGCTTTAAAAGGGGAGAGAACGGTGGGAAGAGTCTGGTGTGCCAAGCTTGGCCGTTAAGGTTCACGCCCTGGTCACTGAGAATCGGTGTGTGCGCCTCACCGCCGTGCCGGACAGGTGCTGCAGGGAGTCGGAGCTCGTAGGAGCTCGGGCTGTTCCCTGGGGAGGTCTGCGAGCCCAGGCTCCCTCTGGACGCTCCATCCCTTTTTTTAAAATTAAACTTTTTATTTTAAGAGAATTGTAGATTTCACTCACTGCTGTAAGATGCCAGAGATCCTGTGTTCTCTTCGCCCGTTTCCCCAGCGGCAACATTTGACACAACTGAAGAATGTGTCGTTGCACTGCTGACATTGGAGCTGTCAAGCTACAGAGCATTTGGGGTCTCTTTTGAATGAGAGGACCTCCTGCATTGGCATGCCTGGGTCCGGGGGCCCTGGTGAGCCCCAGGGAACTTTTCTTCCTGACATGTCCTCTTGCAGTTCCTGTGCCTGCTTTCCCCTTCCTGGGTGCCGTGGTCTCCCAGGGGCCACTGGCTGGGGGATTACTAGTCCTCTTTCTTAGGGTTGTGCACCAGGGACCTCTCCTTGCCTTCTCTGTCCTTTGAAGCTGCCCTTGCTATTCTTACCAGTGGGGACTCCTATTAGCCCCACTCCCTGGTGTTGCTTAATTCAGGAGGTATTTGCCTGGGACCTGACTCATTTCGTGTCCCTTAGGGTATAGCTCATGTCACTCTGAGGCCCTGCTGTCTCTCCAGAAGCCTGTCTATGGCTCTCTGCAGTCCCCTGTGCTCGTGGGTGCTCTCTCACTGACTGGCTTGCCTCTGCTTCGTGTTCTTTGCTTCCCCTCCTCTTGACTAGCTTTTTTCTCCACTTCCAGATTCTCTCTTCTCCCCTAGCCCATCCACTGTCTGATTCTTAGATGTGGCTTTCTCTGTGGCAACGCTCAGGTGCCCTGCATGCCTTGCGTTCTCCCCATTGTCAGCATGGCATCTGGGGTGCTGCAGCCCTCTTCCCCTAAAGCAATCCCATAGTCATCAGCAGTCACTCCCATTCTCTTCCCCAGCCCCTGGCACCATGAACCCACTCTCTCTCTGGGCCTGTCCTGGACATTTCTCATCCGTGGACTCACACCATGTGGCCTCGTGTGTCTGGCTTCTCTCCTTGTGCGTCATGTGTCCCAGGAGAGAACGGTGGTAGTGAGTGTCAGATACCTTCTTTTTCATGACCAGGTGATGTTCCTCTTTATGGATGGACCAGATTGTGGTCTTGAGGCCCCTGCGAACTATTGACCTTTGGGTAGCGGGACATCAGATGAACTTGTGTGGTGCTAACCAGCCACGGCCACTCCTGGAGATGGGGCGGAGTGGGGATCCTCAGATGTGCTCTCATCCTGGCTCCTGTGCCCTGGGACAGAGTCTGTGCTGGCAGGTGTGTGGGTTCTCCTGGGGTGCGTCCCTTTGAGGAGAGACTGTGGTCCGTGTGCTCTCTCCTGTGGTTATGTGCTTGGCGTGGGCCTCAGTTTATACTTTTTGCAGGAAACTGCAGGAAGGTGTCTGGCCAGAGCAGGATGACCCCAGCTCTGCTGTGGATTGGCTTTAAGTCTTGGGCAAGGGCCCAGGCCCTCCTTAGACCTCAGATTCAGGGTCACCCCTAAAAGTGCCATCATTTGTAAAGGTAGAGTCAGGTAGTCTGAGGTAACCACTGGTGACAGGAGCCATGTGTGTGATTTCACTGTGGTGGTGCTGTGTGTGCGTGTGCGCGCACACACTTCTCTCTTCGAAATCCCATGTCTATCTGGTACTCACTGCACACCT